GGTTTGGGTTTTACATCACAATTGGTAAATTGAACAATACTTCCTTAATTCCTGATATGTTTGGCGCTGTCTAGAAAAACTCATAGTACACATGGGAAACATAACATAAAGATAGCTATGCAGATAGAAAGTCAGCAAGTAGGAAGTTCATTTTTTTTGCTCTTAGAAACATTGCAGTTCAACATGGCGGAATTTCCGCTCCCTCCGTAGATACAAACTCCTCATTCTTAGGTAACCAAAACACAATTCTGCTAATGGATCCCCTTAAATCTTACATACTGGACCTTTAAGTAATAGTAAGTTACGTAAGTTGAACCTTCTTTGCCTACTCAAAGCTTAATACCTCTCCAAAAAAGTTACTTAAATAAATTGAATAGGGTACCATGTTATTGATCATTAAGGATAAGATAGGACTTATTTGATCTTGACAATTTATTTGGTTGAGCTGATTATGTATTATTAATACAGGAGTAACAGCCAACTAATCAGATGAATTTGTGAGAAAAAGTCCCAGAAATATTAACGTTCTTTAACTTTGCAAAACCATTACATGCATTTTGCATTCTGCAACAACTGCATATCAAGTCTACAAGCTGAAGAAATGAAGCGTTTACTGCCATGCATAAAGTATTTTCATTGTTTGGAGGTAGGTAGGAAATGACAACTGAAAATTGTCAGTAACTGTATCTGAATTTAAAAAACTAAATTGCAGGCTGAAAGTGGATATCACACAAAAGCATATACGTTCATTGCATTGGTTGAGTACAGTTTGAATCACACTCATTAGCATATTTAACATGGATAGCTCAACTTTTCTTCTCTACCCTTTCCACATTTCCTGTGCTATATAGGGAGTAGAAGCTGGTGTAATGACAGGTAAGTCTGATTCACATCTTCACAGCATGCTTTTATATGGCGATATTTCTTATGCATCATTCATATAACATATTACAAATGAATGGAGATTTACTGTAAATTGTTCTTGTTCTCTAGCAGGTACCTGGGTAAATGTAGCCTCACAGGCTACCCAGAAGTCCTGGGGGGACAGGAATGGCCAGTTTCACAGAGCAGACCAGAGGAAGAATCCTGAACAGAGAAACTTCTCCCAGGTACAGTAGATCTCACTGCAGCATACACTAAAGTAAAAAGGCTGCTGTTTGTCAGGCAAACAACTCTGGTATTAAGTAATGCGAATAAGTAAAAGGCAATTACTTTTGACGTAGAGGCTTTGGCCTCTAAGTCGCAGCAAAGCTTACTGAGCAGCAGATGAGGAGGGATCAATGTTGGTAAATCTCCATTCTGTCGAGAACAGAGCCCACATGCACTTATAAAACAAATAAGCAGCAGCAGTAGTAATAGTAGTAACAACTGAAGACAGTGATATCAACAGAATGAATAGCCAGGAAAGCCCAGGAGTAAAGACAGTTGGTGTCAACATTTTCTTATCTTGAGTGATGTGCAATATTAAGGATGCTTATTCATGTAATTGCTATTTGATAACACACATTTAACATATATGTAGTATTACAATCACATGAAACATTAGCATACTGTTGATTTTTGGTGGCATTCAAAAGTAGAATTCCTCAAAAGTGTTAAACCTTTTATGTGGTGTGGACATCCAGTTGCACTCCTAAAATTGAGCAGAGCACTGTGAAAACTCATTGTCTATTCCGAACAACATCTTTCACATAACGCACATCAGTAGAGTCTGTCACACATAGTAAATAAACAAACTAAAGAGCCATTTACAGGGGTGTATATGTGAAACAAACTAGAATATCACCAAAAATTGTGACGCAGAACAACTTGTGCTGTCTACAAGCTTTGGTATGTTCCGTCTAGCCTTTTTTCACACCTTGTTTCCTTCACTTAACAGTACGTGCACAAAAATACAATAGCTTACAGTACTGTGTTTTTCTGCACACTTACAAATACCAGCACTAACCTGTTTGACTCCTGTATTCTCTGTGTGTCTCTCTGCCTTTCAGGATTTCCACAGTGGCTATCCAGGACGTGTGCCGCCCAACCAGACAGAACAAAGGCTACAGGCAGCAGTGGTCACTGGCACTGAGCTCACCCCAGAGCCCCTCTACTTTGAGGTGAGAGAAGGTTTTGTGGGAATTTCATTGTAATAAATTCTCAATGCAACATTGTCACCATCACACACACTTAATTTTAGGCAGAGTTTATTTGTTGTGCTGACATATTTTCAACATGTTTGTCAGGATGAAGATGAGTTCCCGGATCTGGCTACTGGAGGGGCTGCCCAACGCAGCACCAAACCAGAATCTGCTCCAGCCCAGACACACACGCAACCTAAACTGCCTAAAAACCTGGTAAGCGAAGGCACTTCATTCATTCGCTAGCATTCAAAAGTATTTGAATGCTCACTATATCATGTGCAGGACTTAACTAAATACTAGGGGTGTGTATCTCTCTTTCTCAGATAATTTGATATGTATCTAGATACACAGTTCACCATCTTATACAAAAATTATGAATATAAATTTGCAACGATGCAATACACTGTAATTTAAAGCTGATTCAATTGGATAATAAGTGTGACTAATTGCTAAAAACATAGTAATTTCTGGAATTTTTATTTCAAATACTAACAGAAATCTCCCAGATAATTATAATCTAATACATTAACAGCAGTAAACACTTTCACATCACTAAACGGATTGAATTTTTCACTAAAATGCTGCTGACAGTACCCAGATCAGTTTCATCCCTCTAAATGTTTTTTTAATAACACTGTATGGGTGCAAATAAAACCTCACATAGCTTCAGTAACATTTTTGCCTTAAGCTATGAGAAGTAGCATTAGCTGTATTACTTGTCTTGTGTTGACTAATCCTCTCTGTAACTCTACTGTCAGCATGCATACCATCTTCTTAAATTAGTTGCAAGGTGTGTATGCTTGTTCCCAGCATATTGTATGGGAACGTGTATTGTATACCACGGCACGTTTTGAAGACTGCAAATGCAATGTGAATATCAGGCAGATTTTTGTACGTGCTGATACCTACATTCAATTCAGTGTGTGAATGTTATGGATGTTTAAAGTTGGTATGTCATTGGGAAACATTGTGAGCCAGCAGGAGAAGCACATATTAGATGCACCACCTCTCATACTCAGACTAGAGGTACAGAAGGGCAGAGAAATATTTGGAAAGATTGTGTTTTGACAGCTGTAATGATTTATGTATTTAATGTATTGTGTATAATTTATCTATGCAGTCCAATCTCTAACTCTTGTATCAGGTAATCACCCCCCTACTAAATACTTATTTGTGTCTCTACATGTATCACAGCTGGATAATCTACCAGAGAACTCTCCTATCAACATTGTGCAAACACCCATCCCCATTACGACCTCTGTTCCCAAGAGGGCCAAGAGTCAGAGGAAGAAGGCTCTGGCTGCTGCCTTGGCCACTGCACAGGAGTACTCTGAAATCAGCATGGAACAAAAGAAATTACAGGTATAAACCTGCACTATGTCTGCTGGTCATTTCACACTGAACAGTTTGAATGTTATGGCTTGTTGATGTGTTCCTTTCATAAATTCCTCACCACTGCCTGGTCATGAGTACCATTCTGATCTTATTGTATGTATCTATTGTATTTGACTGGTACTTTAGTATGACCTTGTTCTGCCTTTTCTCTCTCCGCCCGGTAGGAGGCATTCACCAAAGCAGCCGGGAAGAAGAGTAAAACCTCTGTTGAGCTGGACCTTGGAGATATGCTGGCAGCCTTGGAGAAACAACAGCAGGCTATGAAGGCCAGACAGCTCACTAATACCAAGCCACTGTCTTTCACAGGTATTCATTAACTCTATCAAACAAGTGGTATAGAAAAAAAAACAACAACAAAAAAACACCTTACATTACAACAGCCCTGCAGTGTTAGTGATTGTCTACTTGTTGCCAGTGTTCTTTGCAAATTGAGTGTTCTTACTTCGAATTTAGGACTTTACCAATGCCCTATTGTGTAGTTTTGCAGTGTTTTAGAGTGGCCAGACCATTACCATTAAGTTGAATCAAAACCTGAGAGTCCCAACACAAACCAAACATTATGTACCTAACTGTGCACATACACAAACATATACTAACTTTGCTGTCTTTCTCTCCAGTTGGAACAACTACTCCATTCCATGGTTCAGGCTCAACCAGCGTGCCGTCGATGTTGAAGGGTCACCAGCAGCCATATTCAGCCCCACATAATTCCCTGGATTCCACTGCACCACGTATCAAGAGAGGGAAGGAGAGAGAGATCCCCAAAGTGAAACGGCCAACAGCCCTTAAGAAGGTTAATGATTTAAGTTGAAGTTAATTATTTAGGAGACATGGGACAAAGATTTTATTTAGCCTGCATACAAATTGGTAAAAGGAATGGAGATCTTTAAACCTGCAAATCTTTTAAGTGGCTTTCTCCTTGATTTTCTGTATTTGTTCTGTCTTTCTGTAGATTATCTTGAAGGAACGTGAAGGGAAGAAAGGAAAGACGAGTATAGAACAAGAGTCTTCAGGCCAGGAGGAGCATGGGGAGGAGTGTTTACATTTTACTGATGATCTTCCACGAGAGCCTGCCTCCCAAGAAGGTGAGGGTAATTCGTTATTTAGACGTGAAAACAATTCATTTGTACCCATTCTTTAAATCCATGATACATTTTCTAATTGTTATTTCTGGTCTGCTGTGTGTACCACAGACAACGGTTTGAGCGTACCCAGTGATGCCTCCCTTTCCCCGGCCAGTCAGAACTCTCCATATAGCATCACCCCAGTATCCCAAGGTTCCCCTGCCAGCTCTGGCATTGGGAGCCCCATGGCCTCAAACGCCATCACCAAGATCCACAGCCGACGTTTCAGAGAGTAAGTGCACACTCTTACCCCACAGAATGTTAGAACGGGGCAGACCTTTTGTAGGAACCCCCGGCATTGGAATATCCCAAATGCACAACGTGGTAATCAAAAATGGGTCGCAAAGCAAATACTTGTCCCACTCAAAAATCACAGAGCCTAGGCTGTGAGAAATGTACTCTGGAAGTTATGGGGTGTTTTTAAGGGCGGGTCTGTACAATAAAGAATTGTAGAGTATGGCACAGATGCCTAGAACATTGTCCCTTCTCAGCAAAAATGTATGCCAGTGGTCACAAACACAGCTTTGTCCCTCTGTGTCCTCCTGCTGTAGGCCTATTGTCCCAGCCCACCCTTTTCTAACAGATTTTTGCATTTAAAGCATCCAAAGGCCTCTGGAGCCAAGCTCCTCCTCTCAGCTCTGACCTCCGGGACACTTGTTCCTCAGGCCACACTACGTCGACCTTCCGATAGATATTTCATCAAACCACAACGCTACTGGGAGTATGCATTAAAGACTGCAAGGCTTATTCTGATTCAGAAAAAGGCTCAGATAGCAACAATGCATAACAGCCAACAAGCAGTCACAACAAAGTTGTCATGACAAAGAATAAAGCCTTTAGGGCTTCTACAAACAATTATTTTCAACATATACTTGTCTGAAGGTTATTTTTCAGTTAATTGTTTGGTCTGTGAAATGTCAATTTTTTGAATCATCATATTGCTTTTTTTGTTAGACAGACACCCCAAAACCTATTCTAAGCTATTCAATTAACTATTGCAAAAGACAAAGAAAAAAATCAGATCATCACAATTTAGAGGCTACACCCAGAGAATGTTTACCATTTTAGCTTTAAAATTATATTCATTATTAATCAATTAGCAAAGTTGTGTGATTCTTTTTTTTTTTTTTTTTGTCAGTTGACTAATCAATTAATAAACAAATCATTCTAAAGCCTTTAATTAATATATTGCAGCATTATTTGCGCTAGTTAACATTAATGTGGCTGTTATTTTGGTTGCCACCTAAAAGGGACAATCTAACCTCCATTATTTCTTCTCTGCCCTCATGTTTTTTCCTTCTGCAGGTACTGTAATCAAGTGCTGAGCAAGGAGATCGACGAGAGCGTGACTCTGCTGTTGCAGGAACTGGTTCGCTTCCAGGAGCGGGTCTACCAGAAAGATCCTACCAAGGCCAAATCCAAACGCCGCCTGGTCATGGGTCTCAGAGAGGTCACCAAGCACATGAAGCTGCATAAAATTAAGTGTGTCATCATCTCTCCCAACTGTGAGAAGATCCAGGCCAAAGGTAAAGCATGTTGCTGTGACATCTCCAGCATCAGTCCTTATCTCATCAGATTGTTCTAGATCTGATAGCTATAAACATATTTAAAGTGGCTATAATT